ATTTTACACAGCCTTTTATGTGAATGGATTAACCCATATGAATCAATCACTTAATATTTCATTTATTTTGGATCACTAGCAAAACACTTCAAGCACTTAAATATAATAGAGTTGATTTTCTCCGTGTTAAGCATTTTAAGAACCTGAGCTCATCGGCTCTAAAGCTTAAACTAAAACTGAAAGTCTGTTAAGTAATGCCTTTACTGGGACCTTCTCCATCACAGATCACATGCACACAAGCAAGAGAGAAGTAAGTAGCCCAATCCAGTTTGATAAATGAGAGAAAAACCAGTTCTTATGTAAGAGGCAATGCACACCTCACCCAGTTACATAATTAAACCTATTTGGCAGGAGAAGTCTGACAAGACCGGAATACCCTGCTTGTTTGTAAGTGTTCCAACAGATGCAGGTATGGGAAAAAAATCTATCAAGAGACATCAGTTCGATGTAATCCAAAACCTTGAAGCAACATTTTAATGGACTGTGTCTGAATAAACAACCCACCAATTTGCATGGGTGCCTGTGTAAGGGAAGATCTTAATCCTCAAGGTATCATTCTACTGCTTTTTTCTTTTTAAAGTCTCTCTTTCTCTCTTTGAGACAGAGTGAGACTGTCGTTCAGGATGGAGTGCAGTGGTGTGATCATAGCTCACTACAGCCTCGACCTCCCAGGCTCAGGTGATCCTTCCACCTCAGCCCGCCAACTGGCTGGAACCACAGGCATGTACCATACCACCGGGCTAATTTGGGGGGAATTTTAGTAGAGCCAAGGTCTCACTATATTGCCCAGGGTGATCTCAAACTCCTAAGCTCAACGGGATCCTCCCACCTCGGCCTCCCAAAGTGCTGGGGTTACAGGTATGAGCCATGCCCAGCCAAAGTCAACCTTTTCAAAAGTAAGTCTTCACTTACTATATCTCCTTCTTTGCCCTCTGCAGTTGGGGGACTTGCATTGATAACCAAAATGCTAAAGCTTTTCATTTCAGATGGCAAATCTAAGTGTCCCTTTCCAAGTTTTCATCCCACTTGATCTCTTTGCAATATGTTACACTCTGCCTAACTTCCCTTCTCAAACTCTCATCCACAGATTCAATAGAAAGTTTATAAACAAACCAGCTGGGGTTTAATTTAAGGCGCAGACAATTACAATTTGGGAGTGTCCTTGAGTAAGATACTTAACCTTCTGAATCTCAGTCTCTTTCATCAACTATAAAAATGAGAATACTATTCCCTGCCCTCAGGAGACTGGTGTGGATTAAATGCAATGAGTCAATGAAGGCATCTGTCATTATGTAGTCAACAAGTTGTTAGTTTCCTTTCTCTCTGCAGTCCTGTTCTTGTTCCTGAGTGTTGGTCCCTAGTTTTTATTTGCCTTCATTATGGCTCCACCTGAACTTCCAATTCCATTTGTACAAAGCTAAACTAACACACTCTTCCACACCTGCCTGTACTCTCCCATAGCTGAAGTGGGGCTTATAGCTTTAGCCCTCTCCCCATCACCTGAGCCAGCATTCCACGCGTTATGAAATTAAATAGGGATATATGACCTAAGCACTTAGGATCAGAACATCTATGAGGGATCCTCTGTCTGTGTCTATTAGTTGCAGAAACTTTCCAGCATTCAGGCAAGCCTATCCAGAGCATCCTCCTGAATGTTTAAACTAATGGTTCTCAACTGGCGTGGTGGCTCAAACCTGCAATCGTAGCATTTTGGGAGGCTGAGGAGAGCAGATCACTTGAGGTCAGGAGTTTGAGACCAGCCTGGGCAACATGGTGAAACCCCATTTCTACTAAAAATACACATATTAGCCAGGTGTAGTGGCAGGCATCTGTAAACCCAGCTATTTGGGAGGCTGAGGTACGAGAATAACCTGAACCCAGCTGAGGCAGAGGTTGCAGTCAGCTGAGACGGCACCACTGCACTCCAGCCTGGGTGATAGAGCAAACCTCTGTCTCCAAAAAACAAAAATAAAATAAACTAATCACTCTAAAGTGGGGTCCCCTGCCAGAAGCATCAGCATAACCTAAGAACTTTTTACAAAGGCATATTCTCAGCCCCTCCCAAGACCTACTGAGTCAGAATCTCAGGGTGAGACCCAGCATCTTCCAGGCATTTTGGATGCACACTAAAATTGGAGATCCACTGGCAAAAACAACGTGTTATCTTGGACCTTAGGAGAAGACAAATACTTAAATATTAGTGTACATGAACAGGAGTAATTTCAATCAGTACAAAACAATTTATGAAACAGAAATTATCTTAGTGTACATTATTATTTTGCTATAAGTTCTTACAAATCTTGATACTATGAAAACTAAAATATTCCCATTTCATATAAATGAATGCAAAATATTTAGGAAAAGATCGAAAAGTCTTTTTGTCTTAGTGCTATGAAAAGACTATTCTTAAGAAACAAAGGTAACATACATAACAGATTCGTACTTATATGACATTTTTGAAAAACTAACTTTAAGAATGGGAAGGCTGAACTTGTTTTACATTAATTTGAAACATCTTCTTTTGGTCTAACCAGCATGTGATACAAATAATCAGTGTCATTTAAAAATCCAGGATATGCGGAGAAAAAACTTAGCAACTTAAATATACTACGTTAATTACTGTCTTCAAAGATATTAAGTTAAAATAATTCGTACACAGAAAGTCTCTTGAGACTCAGGAAATCTCAGATCTAATTTTCACTAATAAAACATGGAAACATTAACAAGATAGCTTTTGTTTGTTTGTTTTGAAGAAGAGTCTTGCTCTGCCACTCAGGCTGGAATACCGTGATGTGATCTCGGTTCACTGCAACCTCTGCCACCTGGGTTCAAGCAATTCTAGGGCCTCAGCCTGACAAGTAGCTGTAATTACAGGTGGACACCACTATGCCCGGCTAATTTTTTTATTTTTAGTAGAGCCAGGGTTTTGCCATGTTGGCCAGGCTGGTCTCAAACCCTTGCACTCCAGTGATCCACCCACCTCTGCCTCCCAAAGTGCTGGGATTACAGGCATGAGCCACTGCGCCAGGCTAAGAAGATAGATTTAAATTGTAGAACTGCAAATTTCTCCACAAGATAATAGGTCATATAACAAGAGTAAAGCAACATCATCACTGAAGGCAACATGGGAATGTTGTGTGGGGCACCACCAACCACAGAAACACCCACAGCTCTGCAAAACCATGAATGACCATCAACAATGAAGAGCTTCAGAGCAATGAAATAAAACAGATATTCACAGCCACCTATTGTTTAGGAAGGCTTGTCTTTTTTCAAAGGATTATTATCTACGTAAAAAACAAATACCTTAAGAAGACTTCACCTTTTAAAGGTCACTTGGATAAGTTATTGCTGCACACAGAATTTTAAGATGCAAGTAAATTAAGTACCATAGATGCTGAAAAGGTGACAATTGTCTGCTACATTGACACTACTAATTTTTATTACTGCAGAATGTCAATTACTACTGAATTTAAGTTACTGAGAAGACACCTAATACATTTCAACTATGATTACTCATTGGTTATCTTAGCTGTGTTCTAATGCGCTAGTTACATTTCTTAGTCATTTAATTTTGTCTCAAGTATCAACCAGACTTCTTCCCTTACTTCCTTGGTTCAGCAGGAAGCAGACTGTCACTTCCATTGAGTCTTGCCATGGTTTTGAGAATACTGAGAAGGGAGCACTACAAGCAGAGTAACTCAGAATTTCTACCGCACGTGCCCGGGTATATCCTTGGTTCCTAACAAGTCTGGTTTGCAAGGTCGACTTTGGTGACCCACACCTGTAATCTCAGTAGTTTGGGAGGCTGTGGTGGGAGGGTTACTTGAGCCTAGGAGTTTAAGACCAGCCTGGGCAATGTAGTGAGAAATTGTCTCTACAAAAACCAAAAAATGAAAAAATTATCCAGGTGTGGTGGTGCGTGCCTGAGGTTCTAGCTACTTGGGAGGCAGAGGCAGGAGGATGACTTGAGCCCAGGAGTTCAGGCCTCTAATAAGATATGATTGCACCACTGCACTCCAGCCTGGGAGACAAAGGGAGACCCTATCTCTGAAAAAAAAAAAAAAAAAAAGAATGCAGGGAAAGCTGGTTTGCACCCAGCCTCCTTCATGTAACACTTATCTGTTCCTTCCCTGGAAATGCTCCTTCAATCCCTTCCTCAGAGTTTACTAAAAAGTACTTCTGGTGTGAGAGAATAGCCTTCAGCCTTATCAAGGCTTGTTCTCCAACTTTCATGCTCCAAGGATTAAATGCTCCCTAGGATGACTGACAGCAGGTACATCTATTTCCTTTAGGAGAAACCCTTTTAGCCCCAACAAAGGTAGGTGATTTGGCCTGACAGTCTCTCAAATACAATCAACCAAATATCAGTCAGCAACCAATGATTTAACTTCAATTCATTAGCACAAATGCCATCAATTGCCCAGTGAAGTTAAAACTTCACATCCTAGTTTAACTTATTTTAAATCTCATCACAAGAAGGATTCAAAATTTACTAGAGTTCACCTTACACAGCATTATATTATGCATATGTTTAAAATAATCTGAAAAATGTGTACCAAATTTTTAGTATGGTGGATTATAGGTAGTTTTTATTTTTATTTACCTGTAACTTTTTTCACCTTTTTACAATGAATAGCCATTTTTAGCTAGCCAAATTTTTAAAAGTTACTTGAGCCCAGGAGTGTGAGGCTACAGTGAGCTACAATTGCTACTGCACTCCAGCCTGGTGGCAGAGTGAGACCCTGCCACTAAAAAAGAAAATAATATGAGGAAGAAAAGAATTATTCTCTAGGCCTTTTGTTATTTTTTGACAGTCTTGTTCTGTCACGCACGCTACAGTGAAGTGGCACAATCTCAGCTCACTGCAACCTCTGCCTCCCGGGTTCAGGCTATTCTCATTCCTCAGCCTCCCTAGTAGCTGGGACTACCCCTATACACCACCACACATGGCTAATTTTTGTATTTTTACTAGAGAAAGGGTTTTGCCATGTTGGCCAGACTGGTCTCCAACTCCTGATCTCAAGTGATCCCCCCGCCTCCACCTCCCAAAGTGCTGGGATTACAGGCCTGAGTCGCTGCGCCCAGCCTCTCTAGGCTTTTTATAGGCTATTCTGAAGGGAGTTGATGCTATAAGCAATGAAGTCAAGTTAATAGTGGAGAAAGATTGGAGACCTGAAGTAAGACCATATGAATAAAAAGATATTTACCAGGCAAAATTAACAGGAAGAGATGACATATTTGGATGTAAAAGTGGTAATTGGCAGGGCATAGTGACTCATGCCTATAATCCCAGCACTCTGGGAAATTGACGCAGGTGGATTGCTTGAGCCCAGGAGTTCAAGACCAGTGTGGGCAACAGCATCTCTATTAAAAATGCAAAAATTATCTGGGTGCAGTGGTACATACCTGTAGTCCCAGCTACTCAGAAAACCGAGGTGGGAGGATTGCTTGGGCCCAGGAAGTTGAGGCTGCAGTGAGCTGAGATCAAACCACTGTACTCCAGCCTGAGCAACACAGCAAGATCAGGAAGGAAAGGAAGGAAGGGAGGAAGTAAGGAAGGGAGCGAGGGAGGAAGGAAGGGAGGAAGGAAGGAAGGGAGGAAGGAAGGAAGAGAAGGAGGGAGGAAAAAGAGACAGAGAAAGGAGGGAAGGGAAAAGGAAAAGGAAGGAGAGGAGAAAGAGGAAAAAGGAAAGAGGAAAGGGATAGTTAATGTTCAAAGGTAACCCCCAGCTTCCCAGCTTAAGAACATATATGACTGGTGCTAACTTCAACTAAGGTAGCAGAGGCAGGAAGAGTGTGGTGCTAGGGAAAATCATGAATTCAATTCCAGACACGTGGAGTCTGGGGGTGCTGAACGATAGTCAAGCAGAGAACACTAGTAAGAACCCGGATTTGGAGCTCAGGAGAAATATCCGAACAATGATTCAGATTAGGAAATCATGCCTAAAGTTATAGCAGAAGTCATGGTTGTGGATGAGGCTGCTGGAGAGAATAAAGAGAGAAAGAGAACAAGACACTCACAGAAAGGAATTCCAAGGATCACCAACATTTAAGGCAGGAGCAGAAAACAAAGAGCTCAAGAAAAGTTTTTCCAAGAAGGAAAGAACAACGCTTAGAGAATGGACTCACAGAAAGAAAGGGAATGATGGCAGCTGCCCTTAGCCCCTCCTGCCTATGGCTCAGTGCTACTCCAGGAGCTTCACCCATATCACCTGTAGCCATTCAGCAATCCTAAAGGGAGGGCATTGCTATCTCCTCTTGTAGAGGAGGAAACTGACATTAGTAGAGCACAAGAAATTTTCCCAGGATCACACAGATATTAAGGAATAAAGAAAGGATCCAAATTCAGCCTTGCTGACCCCAAAGTCTGTGCTCTTTTCTTTCATCATCATGCGGCTTTATTAGAATGTATTGGAAATTGCTGTATCTGTTAACAGGTCTGCATCCAGGTGAAATTTATACTCTTGGCTTCCTTGACACAGTTCTTCAAACAACAGAACTTACAGGTGGTGGGGTCTTTTTAGCACAGCCATGCTATTGTTAGAATAGTGAAACATAGCACAGCTTTCTGAATATTTTACTTCCATCCCCCACAACTACGCTGCCCCCCTTCCCAGGAGCGCCCTCCTCATGATCCAGCAATCTTCTCTAGCACTAAGACCAATGTCTTGTTCTGTTTGGTTGGCACCCATGCCCTTCAGGTTGTTAAATATATTGTCTATTACCACCACAAATAACTGAGCGAGCCAGTTATGCATTTTACATCATCGTAATATATACAGTAAGCCCTCGTAGGAAACACTTGTGATCTCCTTAATACTTGATCAAATCATATATTTTGAAGATACAGCTTTTCCTTCTTACGTAAAAAGACTAATGAAAAAATTAAAGTATAAACAGTCATTTCAGAGATCAGTATTCATCACTTAAACAGCCAAAAGAAGATGAAGCCTTTTGATGGGTCAAGTAATTCAAGGACATTCCATTTGAACTAAATGGTGATGAATGTTTGCAAATGGATTGAGAGTACCAACCAGAAATCACACAATTAGGCAGCTTTAAAAAGATTTTTAGACATAGTCAGCATAGATATTTTATAGACGGTGAAAAAAATCAGTAAAATATTATGCTGAAAATAAATATAGATCATACTTAGTTTCTTAAGCATCACTTAATTTCTCTGTGGTTGGCAGATTGTGATGCAAGAAAAAATTCGGAAACCATCTCTTCTCTCAAGAGACAGTAAATTTCAAGATAAAAAAATTATGTAGAAAAGGATTTTCAAGTCTTTGTGTTTGGGTTTTTAAGAAAATTAAGCATTCTAAAAGTAAATATTATTTCTGCTAAAAGTATAACAGCTGAATCGAAGGTATCTAATTATTTTGTCTCTTTCAAATACATACCAATTTTCTTCCTTATTTTTCCATAAGATTGATATGGATTATTCCAGATTTACACTAAGAATTACACAAGGAAGACTAGGTACAATGGCTCGCTCTGTGATCCCAGCATTTGGGAGGCTGAGGCAGGAGAATTACTTGAGTTCAGGAGTTCCAGACCAGCCTGTACAACATAGCAAGATCCCATCCCAACAAAAAAAGTTTTAATTTAGCCAGGCATGATGGCACATGCCTGTAGTCCTAGCTACTAAGGAGGTTGATATGTGTATCAATTCATTTTCATGCTACTGTTAGATATATCCGAAACTGGGAACAAAAGAGGTTTAATTGGACTTAACGGTTTCACATGGCTGGGGAGGCCTCAGAATCATGGTGGGAGGTGAAAGGCACTTCTTACACAGTAGTTGCAAGAGAAAATAAGGAAGAGACTAAAGCAGAAAACCCGTCAGATCTCCTGAGACTTATTCACTGTCATGAGACTAGCACGGGAAAAACCAGCCCCCCCACATAATTCAATTACCTACCCCTGGCTCTCTCCTATAAAACATGGGAATTTGCGGAGAAAAAATTTAAGTTGAGACAGGTGTGGACACGGCCAAGCCATATCAATAAAGGAGGATCTTGAGCCTGGGAAGTCAAGGGTACAGTGAACCGTGATCACACCACTGTACTCCAGCCTGGGAAAAAAAAAAAAAAAGGCCCTGTAAATATTTAAAAAAAAAAAAAAAAAAGAAAGAAAAAAAAAATTATTCAGGAAGGACTTAATTGATTTCACTTTAGGCCACAGTAAGTGACTAAATCATTGATTGGGGATCCTCATTTCCTGGCTTGATCAGTCCTTTCCTATAATCACATGTCATCTAAACAACTTATGTTGTTCTTTAAAGTGAGATTATTAGCCCCAGAACCATTAACAAATGTAAATGTGTCTGTGGCCAATGAAGGTCAGCAAGAAATCAATCACATAAAAATATCAAAGAGGCTGAGCATGGTGGCTCACGCCTGTAATCCCAGCAATCTGGGATGCTGAAGCGGGCAGATCACCTGAGGTCAGAAGTTCAAGATCAGCCTGGCCAACAACATAGTGAAACCCCATCTCTACAAAAATACAAAAATTAGCCCAGCATGATGCAGGTGCCTGTAATCCCAGCGACTCAGGAGGCTGAGGTGGGAGAATCGCTTGAAACCTGGAGATGGAGGTTGCAGTGAGCCGAGATTGTGCCATTGCACTCCAGCCTGGGTGACAGAGCAAGACTCTATATTAAAAAAAAAAAAAAAAAAAAAAGGAAGAAAATCAAAGAAACCTTGACCTAAGTTTTAATATGTTGTTTTTGTTTTTCTGGACTTTTTTTATGATGCAGCTGATAATACTAGACCTAAAAGAGAGTTCTCAATGAAAACAGAGGCCAGGCACCGTGGCTCACTCCTGTTACTATTCCAGCAGTTTTGGAGGCCAAGGAGGAAGATCACTTGAAGCTAGGAATTTGAGACCAGCCTGGGCAACATAGCAAGATCCTGTCTCTGCAAAACAATTTTTTTTAATTAGCCAGGTGTGACGGTGAGTGCCTATAGTCCCAGCTACTCAGGAGGCTGAGGCAGGAGAATGACTTGAGCCCAGGAGTTCCAGGCTGCGGTAAGACGTGATCACTGCACTGCACTTCACCCTGGAAGACAGAGCAAGATGCCATCTCAAAAATGAAAATAAATAAAAAGTGAAAATACAATAGCAAACTCAAAACAAATGAGTTTGGAGGTGGAAGAATAAGTGATGGCAGAGAGTATTTAAGTCAAACATGCCTATGAAAACGAAAGGATGTGGTAGGTGCCAGGGATATATAATTGACTGCTATAAATTTCTAACAAAAAATTTACGGAGAGGAAGAGACTTGGAAGTATATACAGAGGTATCCCTAGATTTGACAGATTATTTATGCATGCTTTTCTTTGTGTCTTAAGCTTTAAAGTACAAAAGAAAAATGCTGTTGAGAGCCAACTTCCATTATAAAATCAAGATGCATTCTTAAGAGAAGATAGCACTAAAAGACTTTTTGGAAATCGAGGCATACAAAGAATGGCTGGGTCTGCATTAGCACAGGACAGTAGAGGACAATGAATGCTGTACTCCTAGAATTCTATGACTTTTTTCTGACTCCAAGATCTTTCCACGGTTGTGTTCTCATTGGCTGACTCAGACCACAAGAAGATGTATTATTTCTTTTCTTTTCTGTTTTTTGTTTGTTTGTTTGTTTTGTTTTAAAGAAACAGGGACTCTCTCTGTTGCCCAGGCTGGAGTGCCACGGTGTGATCACAGCCCACTGCAGCCTCAAACTCCTGGGCTCAAGAGATCCTCTCATCTCAGCCTCCAGAGTAGCTGGGACTACAGATACATGCCACCACGCTCAGCTAATTTAAAAAATATTTTGTAGAGACAAGGTCTTGCTCAGTCTGGTCTCAAAAATCAGAGATTTGTGATTTGTGCTTGCATTTATTTATTTAATGCTTTTTATTTTATTTTTTATTTAGCTTTCTAAGGTCATGACCTCTCCAAGACACTCACATCACTCAGGATCTATTGATGTTTCACTGATAAGCAGATCCTTTGTAGAAATCACACAACTGCCTCTGTGTTTGTCTCCAATGTATTTTCCTCATTCAACATACACATGACAATACATACCCAGCCACTCAGT